TTGAGTGACGGTTTTTAATTTTTAATATTGCTAACAGAAAACTTCAATTTTTATTTCACAATAGTTATTATTCCAAAATGATAAGGTACTATTAACTTAAATATGCAATGAATATTTTAAAGAGATGCAACATTATGTTTGAAATATCACAACATTATCAAAATTACTTACAGCAACTATTAATACGTAGATATCAATGGTAGGTATACGGTGTATCCTCAGTGACATATTAATACCAAACGGTAGGTTTATGAGAAGATTTAAATGTTAGACAAGACACTGTATTAGTTACACTGAAAGTAAAATACTAAAATTTTAAAGTTTATTGATATAAAATGTTAATATAATAAAATATTTTACTTTACCATTAACCTGATAGCAAAACATGGAACAAGCGATGAAACTACTAACTAGACTACTGTGTGTAATAGGCTGAAGAATTATTACCATGTATTTTGTTAATTAATCCAAATATTTATTCTTATAAGTTATAAATTATGGTGGGACTCCGTGATATTACAGAATATATCTATATTATAAGAATTAATACTGTAATGATGTTTCAAGTCATTACATCATTCTTACTGTATTAATTCCTTAAATGCGTCATAGTATCAAATCGCAAATTTAAAAAAATAGTAACAATCATTGCACGGAACGTATACATACTAATAATAATGGAGTTCAAGTACAATTTTTCATCATAAAAATAATTGGCCGTCGTCGACTACTCTGTCATATTGTTTTATTAATTAATCGATTTTAACACGAATAATTAATAATTCATTACAGTGAATAACCTGCACTCTTCTTACCCAATTCTACTCCTTGGTCAAGACCTACAGACATATTAATGTGATAACTATGATAACTACAGGGAGAACGGAGTGAATCAGTTTCCTCGAACTTTCAAAGCCACGTAGAGATGTTTAAAAGCAGGTGCCCAAAACACTCGTTATAAGACATGTTAAACTCAACACATTTCAGTCTAATAGCACCACAAGAAAACATTCACCGGATGTATCTCTTCGTCTGACTCTACAGTGAGAGGTGTCTAGGACTGACCGCGTTTACCGTCAGGTCCATTCCTGCATCTTCGAGGCCATGTCACGTATTGAATTTAATCGCAGAGCGTCGGCTTCAATCTGTCAAATCGGTGTCAAAGACGACTATACGGATGACAGCATATCAATTTCGAAAACTTTTGCCGTGGCAGGTATCTTTTCTGCATTGTTGTACGATTTGACGGACGACAACTCTATCTCAAGTGCATTGCATGTGGAATTTTCTTGACTGTCACATTGGGCATCGATTTATATCACATGTGCAACTGCAAACTTTTGAGATCTCCACTGATCTCGCACTGGACCACAATCTTGACATTATGAGGCATTATTCAGTACTGTGGTATTCGACGTACCTATTGATCTGATATAAGTACGATCAATATAGTATACCAAAAGTATAGGTACGTCATAAGTTTTAGTTTACCTTATTATAAAAAATTATTACAGCACTGTCAGTTGAAACAAATAGTTACTGAAAACTGACTACTAAATACTCTGACATAGATGAGAATTATAAACATTTCAAACACTTACACTGCTCATGGTATCAAGATTTGTATGGCTTTTGTAAATCGGGAATGTATCTAGGTTTTTTAGTTTATAAATGAAAGTTATTTATTAAAATCTTATTTCTATTGTTGGGTTGTAGTGTTCAAGTTCAAGACTTAAAGTTATATTATTATTGAAATTAAATCTGTCTATTGTAGATTTGAGAAAAATGAATATGCCAAAATCATATCAAAGCTCATCTTTCATCTAGAAAATTGTATTATGATACTGATTGAAGTTGAAATAGTTGTAATGGTCGATATAAGTGGAGTAATTTTAATAAGAAAAAAATACTAGGGTGTTGATTGTTAAAGCGAGTAAAGCTCTTTATTTTTTCAGTTAGTCCACAAATGATTATGGTGGTGTTAATTTCAAACTGGAGGTTATACAATATTATAAAAGATTAAAATACCATGATGAAAACGCTTTGCATAAAACATATAATTATATGACAAGTATATAAAAAAAAAATAATACTCGTAATATCTAATTCAAATAGTTTTAATCAATGAGTGATAATTTGAAATAATATAATAAATAATCACGTATTCACATTTTCTACTCGAATGTGTCACAAATACGCATTTTAATTATTATCAACGCTATCTGTTATAAAATAAATTAGTTTAGGCCTTGGGGTGACCATATATTTTAGAAACAAAAAAAGGGACATATTATTTTTGCTCAACTCTATAAAAAAAAATACCTTAAAAAATGATTGAATGTTTTTTTATATTTAAAAAATATATTTTTGAGATATTTTTTGCATATCAGATTAGATGAGATTTTAGAAAGAGTGTTGGTCGTGCGGTTGCTACTTCATATTAATATTAGAATTTGCAATACGCCAATACATGTATAATATACTATTATGGTTATTGAGGATAATTATTATCAATATAATAACCATCCAAAAACTTCTGTACGAACTGTATTGGTAGTTGGTACATAATATTATAATCAGTCATTTTGAATATTATATTTTTTTAATGATAAAGAATAACGAAAAACAATTTATTTTATGTTATATCAGCGTCAATAAACACAATAACAATGTACGGAAAACGTAACATTACCATAAAAAAAACAGTTTTCTTGAATAATATGATCTATAAACATTGCATTTGGTAATATTATTTTATTATCATCTTTCAAAGTATGTTCATAATATTTCAATAAGAATTGTGTGGTGGATTTGGGTTAAGGGAAGTAAATAGTAATGTTAGTTTGTAAACGTGTTTTAGATCCATATGAAATTACTGCAAATCGTGAGTAGGAAATATTTACACGCTAACCATTTTTAAACGAAATGAAGATTTTATAGCGTATATTTAGACGAGAAAATCAATGTCAATATTATGGGGGTTATAAACGTCATTGGTAGTTTGTGAGTTCACAAACTTGAAGCCTAAGTATAGAAAACTAAATCGTTATTCGAACAAGAAATCTGTATACGCATCCCATGATACAAAAATATTATAAATTAAAAGTGTATGTGTATTTTTCATTCGTATTTTTTTTTAACACCATTACTGAAATAAAAATAAAATTATACATTTTATTGAAAATGCACTAAAAATAAAATAATTTTTAATTTGAATTTGTAGTTTCATATGTTGTAGCAGTACCTACGTATAAAAATTAAGTATGCAAAGTAAGTTATATGTTTTCGATAACAGCTGCATATTTTACAGACACAATTTAACTAATAATATTAGGTATAATTGTAATTTGATAATACTCATTTATGAAAAACTAATTTTTAATAAAAACTGAATATATATGATACATTTTTTTTATTTACTCCTTTGTACTTGTTTTCAGTTTATTTCAAGTATCATTATTTTGGTTTTTTTTAGCTAACATGCATAAATGTGTTTAGCAATAAAATACTGAATAGAATCTCAGAATAAAATTCTATAGCATGATATATCCACAAAATATATGTGTTTTATAGTATTCTCGTAATATTATAAATTATAGTGTCAAGAAAGTAGGTAGGTGCCAATTTTAAATTGTAATGATGAGATGTATTACAAAACAAACTTAAACAAAATTTATATCAGAGGTGAATGTGATAAAATATTTGATGTCCGTAAGTAAGTACATATAACGTTACATTTGAAATGTCATCAGAGTTGATTAAAAAGTTAAATGCCGAAAAACAAAAGAGTCAGCTATCAAAATAGTGAAACCTACATTATGACCAAGTATACTGTCTACTTTTTCTTTAAACTATAACCCAATTTCACTACTTATTTCAAGAGAAATTTTAATTTATTGATAGTTTTTACTTGTAGGTACTAACAAGTTTTTACAAAAAATATATGATACAATTAATAAATATGATGACATATTACAAAAAATTGCTCTACACTAAAATAAAAATACGTATCGTAGATTAAGAACACCTACTTGTATTGAAAAACAAAAGAGAAGGGAGAAAATAATAATAATAATAAAAATAATAATAACAAGAAACCCAAAACGGTTCTTACATAAAAATAATATAAAAGTAGATAATATAGTAAAAAAAAAGTATTGAAAATTATTTGCAACAATGCTCTTTTATTATTATTGCTTAACACTTGACCAGTGTAAGAATTGGCCTCTTATGCGTTAACAACATCTGGCACAAATACCCTGCAAGTACGATTTTTTATTTTTAGGTGTCGACGTTTTTTTTTTTTTATTGAAGCTTAAACAAACCTGGCCACAATATAGATATCCCTACTTTGATAGGCTTACTCCTATGGAAGAGGTCTTAATTTTTTAAGCATTTTTATTAGTTCTCTCCTTCCATCACCTACTCGTTAAGTTGTCAATAAACTGGCTAAATATTATGCAATACAAATAAAAGAGTATTGTTGCTTATGAATGCAAAAGTGAAGTGAAGGTATGAACTAATGAATATGTACAATCTATAATTGAAGGAGTTAAGGACCACACATAAAACCACTCTACTACTTTGGTAAAAAGTACTTTTGTAATAACTTTTTCCAAACATTGAACTGCTTAATGTCATGGGTTCAATTTTTATATTGTCCTAAGTTATTTCAGCGTCATCAGTGTTTTAGATTTCAAGGAAGCAGTAAGTTGAAATACGAGGGTGAAAAAACTAGTTGATTTGTTTCATGTAAAGATACACAATTATGTTGCTTGGACTTAGTCTAGCGCACTACAAGATTCTAAGCCAAGTGACAAATGTATAAATCTATGTTGTTTTTTTATAATGAATTTTTCTTCTTTTTGTTTAGTATCTGTCATTATCGCCTATTAGACCAGTAAAAATTGTTCGACATTCGTTTTGAGGTTGTTTTTGGGGATAACAAACAATTGCATCTTGTCTGCCATCTACTCTAATATAATGGCCACAATGCTTACCGGTAGTAATGCTGCCGATAAGGGTGAACGGCACGCAGACGACGATGACCAGCAGGTCCGCAACGGCCAAGTTTACGATGAATATGTTGGTGGGCGATGACTGCATCCTCACGTTCTTGTACACCACCAGCACCACGGAAATGTTGCCCACAAATCCCACCACGAACACGGCCGCGTACGCTATGCAGAACAGCACTGTCACCTCGGGAGAGTACCTCATCCGGTACTCCTGCCACGGCCAACCGTCCAGCCCGCCGTAGTCCCACAGTGCGCCGCCGCTCTGGTTGTCGTCCCTAAACACATTTTTAACAAAATATTGTCAAATAACGAAAACATTTTTGAGTGCGATTAATGATCAATATTTATATGTGATACGCAGCTCAGACAGACGTATACTGTTTTCCGGGCAAGTGCCTATTAGCATTTAGAAATAGTTATTACTTGAAAGATGACCAGTAAAAACGTCCTTTATTCTTTTTAACATCCTACATTAGTTGTCATAAAACATATACAACTATAATATGTACTATACGTATAATGTTAAGAATATTTAGTATATTAATTTTACTTTCGCTGTTTAAATATCTTTAATTCTCAACTGTCATTTTGTATCATTTTTAATATTCATTGAACAACTGCAATACTCTTATAAAATAGAGAGAATTCTATCCACACATGATATCTATTAATTGTAATATTTGATAATCTTATAACTCTGTACCTAATTTTTCAGATATTCTATTTATTACTTTACTATAATTATCGGTTAGTGATTAGCAATTTATCTTTAACTTGAGAATAATACGAGTAGATAGTTATATAATAATATCAGTGTTAGAATAAGATGGATAATAAATTGTAAATACAAATATTTTTTTAGTTCTATTGATACTTAACAATACTTTTTAGGCAACAAAGTAGATTCTTATAGCTATACACAGTATAACAAGTCTTATTAATTGTGGTCTAAAACAAACACTCCACTCGAAAACGTTAAAACATTTATCTAGATCAATTTAATTTATTTCACTTTGATGACCATCGAGTAATCAAGGCATTTGTATTTATTACTCTATATATTGTGAATATATTCACGTTGGTGCGAAATTGTAATGTTATCGTTAGTATGCATTAAACGTCACTTCGCTAATTAATATAAATCATGAAAAAATGACTTTAAGTTGACTATACAATTGTTTAATATTTTAGATTCGTTGGATATAGTCTAAGTTAATAAAATGTATATCTCTATCATATTTTAAGTTAATACAGTTTGAAATAAACACTACTTATTGTGTAATATTTAGGTTATAGAATTATTAATATTTTCTATGTCATTATTATTTAAAAAACGATTCCTCTGGATATTTATTACAATTGAGTATCAGTATCAAATTATACTACATTTCCATTTAAGAATATAATGTTTATTTTTCACTTGCTGAGTCTGATCAAATTTTTCTGACCTCTATAGAAACTTATTACTGGATAACTTGGATTGGATAAAATCTTATCTGGTGTGAATTATGTTGTCGATTGCAATTAAAAAATCTATATATGTGCACATCAAATAAATCAGGTGTCTTCTAAAGAAGACGTTCCAAAGTTATTTATACGTTTCTAATATAAAAGTACCTACGTGTATACTGTATATATAGCTTAGCAAAAGTAAGCACAGATAGACGGCGAAGCAAACAATATAAAAACTGAGAAAAAAACCGACACAGCTGTTATATTTATTTTCTTATTTACCTTTACTCGAAATTTTAATTAAGCCATCTACCAGTATTATTCTGATCATTAGATTACTATAAAATAAAAATAAAACGTTAATACTTTATAAATACAATATTTTATAGGTACATATTATCGTATACACGTGTATAATATGCTATATTTTGTTTAAAATTAAACTAAAAAAATGATGAATAAAAAATGATATCGTACTATAACGGTTTAATAAAGCAAAATGTTGACTAGATACCTAGGTACATTACAAATTTATATATTTTACAGCATTTTTTTTCTCATACCAACATAAACGAACCCAGACGTTTTGAAAAGAATAAGATTCAAAACGACGATGACAATATAAAAATACAATCTATTTGAGTTAGGTGAGACCATGATGCAGAAATGCACAATAGACTGCGATTACAAAATTCTTTGAAAATCGACTAACCTTAACCTACATAATGTTGATACAAAATCATTCTCAGATAAGGTTTATTATTACAAGTAAAGCCTGTGTTCATATGCCTAAAATTCCTAAAATAATAGGGATGTATTCATGTGTAAATACATTAAAATGTGCGACTGTACTATAATGTTCTTGAAATATTTTAAAGAAATATGCTTTTATTCAAAATAGTGAATACTGCACACTGTTTTTTTGATAAACAATAAAAATATTGATTTTAGTTAAAATCTTAAGAGATAAAATCAATTTTTAATCATAGATATCAATATCGCAATTAACCTTCAAAAAAATATTTATGGATGCATATTTATAAGGGGGTAATCCTATCATTATTTTTAAAATGAAAATAATTCCAAAATCAGTTCTCTAAATAGCATATAGACATTTTTTAAATCACGAACTTCTATACAAATAATTATAACCATTTGTTTTCGAAAATTTTCTGGACTTCAATTATCATTATAGGAATTCATTTTACACTGTAAATCAAATATGATGTTTATACATATGATGAAATATAGACAGTAAATATAAATATAAATCATTTTTTTTAATCGTACTAATTGTTGCATACTTCTAAATCTACAAATTATAATGATTATTCAATAGACGTAAAAACTTTAGTGAAATATGACAGAATCAGGACTCTTAAAGTTACCAATCAGGGAACGAATTATGTACGTCCAGCTATTTATTGTATAAGAAAAGAAAATCACTAACGCTTCAAGTGTTTTGAAGGGTTCGTGACCCGGAAAGGTTTTCAGTATATTTTAAGCCAGAGGTCGTTAAATGGCAATTAGTCTTGAAAAAAACGTGATAATTCGTCTCAATTAAGAGGTAATTTGTAAATTTTTCATTTTTCATTGTCTCAAGCTTTATAAAATTCAAAACAAATTATTCTAATGAAAATAATGTTTGGATATTATAATAATACAGCCTCAAAAACAATATATTTTAACCGGAGCTTGTTATTTTAACTGTCAGATACGATATGTTATTATTATAATACTTTAATGTATACACATATTTTTTTTTATTATTCAATTAAAATAAATGTCTTATTTTTCTTTATATTATTGTAAAGTCGTAAATTTTTAAATTAAACAATTAGAAAATAGGTGCATTTATATTATATATTTATTTATTTATATTTATATATTATGCATATTATTATATTTATATTTGTTTAATAATTTTAGTCAAAAATCAGTTATCTTATGCAAAATTCATTGTAATATTAGATGACATTAATAAGTAATAAGATTGCTTGGCAAGTTACAATTATCGCCTAACAAAATTATTTAAAATCAACACAATGCAATTGTTGGATATGGAATATTGAATTTCATACGATGAAAACAAATTATATTTTGTATTTTGTGTGCAATATATACACAGTCTTATACATTATTGTGCATCGTGTTTTATATTATAATTAATATCATTTAAATCACAATAATTCACATACAAAATATGCGTATACTTTGATCACAATCATTAGAATATTGAGCAATTTCGGCGGTCGACATAAGGACGACTACGGTATATGAATACGGAATAGGTATAATAAATAATTTAATTTCCTAAAAGGGATTTCGAACGCGTACAATTGAATACCGTAACCTAATAATTGAAAATGGAAACCCTTATTATTTACCCCTAGGGTGAGACGCATAAAGTGTCCACAGAAAATTATGGAAACAATATACTATTCTAAATCAACTTTGAAATTCTGGACATCATGCGCGTGGTCCTGCTGGTGGTTCTGGTGTAAAGAATGCAGGATAACCGATTTATTTTAAAATTATAATAACTACAAAATATTAAAGATTTATATAGATACCTATGAGCGAGACCAAGTGATTAACAATGAAATACATTTTATCCAAAATCAAAATTCAATATTGTTTGCTATGTCTAAGACGGTAATATAACACGTGTGTTAATGTGTTATACCAATTAAAAATAGTCAGTATATAAATGAATATATCACAACTCGGAGTTATCTAATTTATTTATGAAATAATAATATCTTATTTGAATATACTCAAGCGTAGGTAATTACATTATATGTTTCTACTGTAGTAATATTATTATTCATCTGATGAAAACTATAACTCGAAAAAACAAAAAAAATGCAAGGTAATTATTAGTAACTACAAACGAACACGTCATATATTTTGACAGTAGGTACCTATGTAACTTCTTATATTAACAAAAAAACAGAAGTAAATGTGTCGGGGGTTTTGCTATAATTATTTTAAAAGAAAATGCAAATTTAAACTTAAAAATAAAAATAAATGTGTCGGGTACAAATAATTGTATTCGTCTCACTATGCACCCACACGACTGCTTTGTGTAATCATCATTGTCTTTGAAGTAGGTAGAACTTCAATGCTTTACCAATATTTTCATACGTCGTTATAAACACGCAGAACATAACCTAACTGATCATATACCCATAACAGACATTATAATATGGCGTGTTTGAAAAAAAAATCAAATCCGTGCCTCTGATTTTAATATTTAATAGTTATTATGTAGCTTGTTACATATTCGGCGCATATTATAATACAACTTTATACTGCAACATTCGCCGTCGATGTTCGTGCACAAACCTATAAATATCGGTTTTTAATGTTTTAAAAATGTTGGCTAAAATATATTATAGGTAATAATTTACTATAATATCTATGTGAAGATAACTAGTGATGTAAGTAAAATGAGTATAGGGTGATTCACCGAGCATTATCCCATATTTTTTCTTCAATAATACAGTCATTCAAAGTTTGATTTTTGGTATTTTTTAAATAGGTATACTTCGACTATTATTGAGATTATTTGTACTTCTTAAAGAGTGTCCTTTGAAGAAGAAAAATTTTGTTTTGAAAATAACGATAACCTTCTTTTCTACTGAAAATTATTTAGCGAGAAATTGTTCTCAAAATGTGGAAGTATAAAAATCAAAATTCGAATGAGTAGTTTTCAAGTTATTTAATTTTGAGTATTAATGTCTAAATATTATAAGATCAATAATAAAGGTTCGTTTGGGATTTTGGAATTTAAAAATTTCATATTTATATTTTAAAATGT